AGGGTGACTGTAAGTTACTTTTCTGCCTTTCTTTTTGTCTGTCAGAAACAAAGCCAAATGTTTTGAGATAATAAGGATTATAAATGTTCAGGAGACAGTGTGCCATCCCACTCACTCTTTTACTGTGGAAAAAAAAGCTCTTTAGACTAGTACCCACTACTCTTTCAAAATAATTTAATGTGATTTATTTCACTTCAAAACACCTTATAATAAAGTTTTTGTGTGTTTTAGTTAAAGGGAATAATTAGAATTTCAAGCCTGGTTTGTCAGGGAATGACTTGCATACCAAATCAGAATTGTAGAACAACAGAGGTACTTAAACAGGAAAATACATGATCTTGATTTTCTTTTAGCTATTCTAGGTAAAGCTTACATGCATGCAGAATATTACATAGCTCTGTATTTTTACACTGATACCTAATTTCTAGCATTCTCTGTGTGATTAAATATACACACACACAATACATTTTTATGTGGGAAAAAGGTAATTTTCATTTACAGTGAGTGAAATGAATATAGACATGTTTTTCTTTGAGTAGGAGTTAGGCTGAGAGTTTAGAAAGTTTGTCACAAAATCTCTTTACGCCAGTAGACAATAATTGTGTGTGTGGGCGCTATTTCACAGAATCACAGAATCATTAAGATTGGAAAGGACCTCTAGAGATCATCTAGTCCAACCCCCCTGCTCAAGCAGAGACACCCAGAGCATGTGGCACAAGGTGGCATCCAGGCGCGTTTGGAAGACCTCTAGAGAAGGAGACTCCACAGCCTCCCTGGGCAGCCTGTGCCAGGGCTCTGTCACCCTCACAGTAAAGAAGTTCTTCCTCACACAGAGATGGAACCTCCTGTGTTTCAACTTATACTCATTGCCCCTTGTCCTATCATGGGCCACCACGGAGAAGAGTTTGGCTCCATCCTTCTCATATTCACCCTTCAGGTGTTTATACATATCGATCAGATGGTGGATGACAAGATGACCACGAGGCATAAGGGTGCCCTGGTGGCCAAGAAGGCCAACGGGATCCTGGGGTTCATTAAGAAGAGCGTCTCCAGCAGGTCTAGGGAGGTGATCATCCCCCTCTACACAGTCCTGATGAGGCCACATCTGGAGACTGTGTCCAGTTCTCGGCTTCCCAGTGCAAGAGAAATGTGGAGCTGTTGGAGAGAGTCCAGCGCAGGGCTACGAGGATGACCAGGGGCCTGGAACATCTGCCCTGTGAGCAAAGGCTGAGGGAGCTGGGCCTGTTCAGCCTGGAGAAGAGAAGGCTGAGGGGGGACCTGACCAGTGTCTATAAATACCTCAAGGGAGGCAGTGAGGAGGATGGGGATGGCCTCTTTTCAGTGGTGGCCATTGATAGAACTAGAGGTAACAGTCACAAATTGAAGCACCAAAAGTTCTGCAGGAACTTAAGGAAAAATTTCTTAACAGTGAGGGTGCAGAGCCCTGGCACAGGCTGCCCAGGGAGGTTGTGGAGGCTCCTTCTCTGGAGATCTTCACAACCCGCTTGGATGCAGCCCTGTGCCACGTGCTCTAGGTAACCCTGTGTGTGCAGTGGGGTTGGACTAGATGATCTCTAGAGGTCTCTTCCAACCTTAAGGATTCTATGATTCTATGACCCCCTCTCAACCTTCTCTTCTCCAGAGAAAACAGGCCCAGCTCACTCAGCCTCTCCTCATACGGGAGATGTTCCATTCCCTTAATCATCTTGGTTGCTCTTCTCTGGACCCTCTCCAGAAGCTCCACGTCCCTCTTATACTGGGGAGCCCAGAACTGCACACAGTACTCCAGGTGCAGCCTCACCAGAGCTGAGGAGAGGGGCAGGATCCCCTCCCTTGACCTGCTGGCAACATCCTCCTGATGCAGCCAGGATCCCACTGACCTTGGCCACGAGGGCACACTGCTCACTCATGGTTAACTTGGTGTCAACCAGGACTCCCAGGTCCCTCTCTGCAGAGCTGCTTTCCAGCAGGTCAGCCCCTATTCTGTCTTGGTGCCTGGGGTTATTCCTCCCCAGGTGCAGGACCCTGCACTTGTCCTTGTTGAACCTCATGAGGTTCCTATCTGCCCAATTCCCCATCCTGTCCAGGTCCCTCTGAATGGCAGCACAGCCCTCTGGAGTGCTGGCCATTTTACTCAGTTTAGCTGTGAATCAGGAGAGTGACAATTTCTCTTTTTCCCTCGGAGGTATTACTAGTTCTTTATGTAGAGTTATAATGAAGCTGTTTGTTAGTTTTACACTAACTCAGTGTATTCATCTGCTGTTAATGGTATTCTCCTTTGAGATGTGAGAGATCTTTTCAGTACTCATGCTATTACTTTTTTACCTAACTACCTCATAAATTAATTAGTAATTTTAGTTAATGCCAGAGTAGCTTAGTCACTTTTTAAGTATTTAGAGTAGCTGCAAAGATGACTCAGTAACTTTAGTAATCAAGATTTACTCTTATTCAGGATATTAACTCAAGTGAAAATTCACTATGACATTGCATTTTGGCTTGTGTTGTCTTAGGTCAGGGATTCCCCCAAACCCAAGTTTATAAGACTGCCAGTTATGAGTGTCCAAAAAATTTAATTGTGCTTTGTATCATTGTGATTGAAGAAAATATTAAGTGGAGAGGGGTTAGTTCGTGACATGACTGTGACATTCTGTACTGGTATTTTTTACTTATTTTATCTGTGGGCTAAAAAGGGAAATCCATCATTTTGGTTTGAGAGATTCGCAGATTTCAGGTGGGTAGTAATTTTATCATGACTCATAATACTTCATAGAAGTAGCTTGCCAAGAAGATGTATTTCCATAAAATTATGAGGTCCCTGAGTTTGAGATATAGCTGGTAAGGAAATCATTTTGACAGAAGAGCTCATAAAAGCCCAGCTCAGGACTTTTGGTGATAGCAATGAAAATCATCACCAATGTCAATGATCTCAAGTGCTTATGGATTCACCTGTGGTAATGCACCATGTCACCTTAGACTCCTCTTTGTTGTGAAGGTCCTGGGCAAGCACAAAGTGAAGGCAGAAGCAGGGGAAAAGCCAGCTGTCCACAGAGTGTCGGTTTTGCCCTGTATGTAAAGCTGGGACCATGGGTTAAGACTTGCTGGTCTGGAGTGAACTGCTTGTAACTTGAACATGTTAACGTGTTCCAGAAGATTAAATGACTGAGAACCATTTGTCATGTTTCTCACCAATTCTGTGATGCTTAAAGGAAATTAGTTTGCTGTGAACTGCTGTGAAAGTAGTTTTGCGTGCTTATGCAGTCAAATTAACACTCTCATGCACAAAGATACATTATAGGATACTGGATAAAATATCATGTCCTGTTTGCCACTGAAGTTTCCAGAATTTATCGGCATTTTAATGATCTCATTTAGCTTTTGTAATGGAAAAGAGCAGGCCCCTTGGAAGCAAGCAGGACTGATCACGTAACCAATGGAAGGATAACTTAGCTTTTATTTGCAGTTGTTTCTCCTGACTGATGGAGGCTCCTGCAGTAAAGCCCCTGTTTTATTTCATTGGGCCAGAAAGGAGAAAATACCAAACCAGGTGCCATTGCAGCCTGTGTTACTGGCTAGGATCCCCTGTACCTGTATGAGTGACTTGACTTCCTTCATCCTCCCTCTCACCCCTCTCCTTCTTAAGATAAATGCATGTTTTCTGTTGAAGCACTGTGCCACTGGACGCAGTGCTTGAGAGCAGGAAGATTTATTCTTGCTGTTTTTCCTGCTGCCTAAGAAGGACCTGTGTGATGGAGGCAAAGACAAAAGTCCCAGAAAGCAGAACTAGCACAGAAGGAGGAAAAAGTGCGAGGAGTTAATGAAAAGGCAGTGACAGAGGCTGAAGATGGCTGGCACTTGGGAAAGAGAGGAAAGATAAAAATCTAGCCATTAAAGGGTATTCCTTCAAATGCAAAATTATACAAAGCACCCAACGTCAAGTAGATTGATAAAATCTCTTCCAAACCATCAGGGGAAGTATGTGATCTTATAAATCAAATAAAGCTGTAATACATAGGTGTAAGGAAGCTGAATTTGACATGAACAAACTTTTTGGTATTTCCCTAAATTCTTCTAATGCAATATAATTTTCTGGAAAAAGCATAAGTTCAGTTATGAGGTTCCATGTACCCCCAAATAAATGCTTATACATCAGTCTCCACAGTAAAGTACTGAAGGCAAAGTGCCAGCAATAATTGCATGAAGTACAAAGTAAACTTACTTCATCATAAAAAGAAAATTATAGATTAGCATCTCTACTTGTTTCTCCCTCTGTATTTCTACACCCACTGCACCCAGATCTATCCGTGCTTCTTATCTGTGGGTGTGCGTATTTCCTATGGCAGGAAGAGAAAAGTTCTTGAGGGGTTAGTGTCATACAGCATATTACCTGCCCCTGCGAATTGCACTATCTCTTCCCGGGCATGGACTATAAAAGTGCAGAATTTCTAACCTGCCTTGCATAAGGTAGGAGTTAAAAACAAGTATTGACAAAATAAGCTAAGCACAGTCAGGCACTCAGATTTGAAATTACACTGATCATCTGTGTGTGAGTTTAGACTTGGACTCTCTTCCAGCATGAAGAAATCTAAAAGTAATCTAATGTGATCTTTTAGATCACATTTTTCACATGTGGAGATAAGCAGAAGTTAACAACATGTCAGGCATCATCTGCTGGCAGGTCAGCTGCTGCACAAGCTGCTATCCTAAAAACAGGTTAGATGGCAATGGAGAGGCTTTTTATGAGTGTCACATCTAGTGCTTTCTCTCTTTCAGTTTTGTTTTCTCAGGGGTCAGCCAGGAGTTAAAATTAAAAGCGGGGTGGCTATCTAAAATAGGCAGGCTAGGGTATGTGTTGGCTGGAATGTGACAGGATTTAAGTAATCACCTGCATTTGAATTGAGAGTCAGATGGGAAGTAGGAAGTGCTGTACTCAAGCTTCCTGTATAAATAAATGCAGCTTTCTCACAGCTACTGCATGCAAGCTGCGACGTGCTTTTAAGATATAATGGCAGCATGCTCTTAATAGCAGGGAGGGGATTCATTTATCAAAGTGGCAAAAGGGTTGGGAGGCAAGTCCTGTCGCAGCCCTAAAGAGTGTGCAGCTGTCAGACACACGGAGAAGAGGGAAAGGGTGTGCGAGAGAAATCTGCCTCTGCTGCTGGTTGTAAGCTACGGTGCTTGTGACATGATTCCTGGGAGCACTGAAGTCTGAGTGAAGCTACTGAAAACTCAAACTGCTGGGAGTGAGTGCCACCCTCCTTTCAAGGTATGTTGGAATATAGCTTTTTGTCTGAGCTTCTTTTACTTAAAAGAAAAAAAATAAAGCAACAGAAAAGCAGCATTTGCTTATAATGGAAGAAAATTGGAAAGGCTTTGTTAACAGCAAAGGTAAGAAATAGTATGATTAAAGAGCTAAAATAAATCTTACATGTCGGTTGGCTAAAATCTTTAACTGTGTGGTGCTTTGCCCTGAGACAAAAATATTGGAATCTAGACTATTAGTGACTTTGAAAATGAAGCAGTCATCTAGTATTTTCCAAAAGGGGGGAAATTATTTTGTCAGTGTAACTTTTAAAGCAGTATCTATATGAAATGTTTGAAAACACTGCAGTATTAAGACCTATCTGTCTGAAAAGCAGTTGCTAAGATGACATACTCTCAGTTATATATATGTTGTAGCTTAAATACAAGAACTCACTTTATACTGAAAACACATTTGATGAAGCTGCGGGGAGTCAGGATTTGAAACGCACAGATTTCCTCCTGCTTTAAAGGCATTTCTTACGGCTCAGTCTTATGCAGCTGATACTGTAAAGCAAAATGCCCTGCTCTGCTGATGTGCACTTAAAAGCCCAAACCTTGAACAGATTAGGAGTTTAAGTAAGCATGTTCAAAAGGTACAATATGTTTGTTTCCTAATCGGGATTATTATTATTATTTTTTTTAACATTAAATAGAACAGAGAATGGCATGTTTACCAGTACATTCATACTACTTTCTCTATATAAGGCTTTCTCAGCACCAGACTACTTCAGTAACAAAGATGTTTCACTCTGGTTTATTATAAGCCTGAATATTTTCTTAATACAAAGGTATTCTGCTTCCTATGATTATATCAAATGTCCCCCTTTATGGGGTAATATAAATAGCAAAATACGTAAAAGGACTACAGCTAAGGAAACGGTGTAGTGTAACTTCCCCTCCTTTTCATAAATAGACACCGAATGCTTTTGAAGTGAATTTTAGTGCAGATATAGGCCATGACTGAAATACTGCTGTGCAGCTTTACAACTGCCTGTGAGTAGGCGCGGTAACGTGATATGCCTGGCTACTCTCAGACTGAAGGGCAAAATGCTCCCAGTTAAGGGCAAGCTTTGGGTCTGGAATACCAATATTTCTGGAAACTGAAGTTTCAAAATCCTGCCCTTAAATGTTTTCCAAAACAAATACATTGGCCCATTTTTCCACCCCCTGCTTAGGACTTGTCTATGCCTGAAATTTGAGTGGGTGTATGGTTTGTTGTCGTAGTATGAAAGTGGCTGAAACGTTTCTCTCTGTGAATGCCAGCTACGTTGAGGGGGAAGAGCACACTGAAAAGGGGATTGCTGTAGTTATGCCGTTGGAAACAGTTCTTTCGGTTATATATTAATAAGAACGTGCTTGCAGAGCATCTAAAGCTGCAGTGAAGTGGGAGATATTCCTCTTAAAAATAAACTGGAGCTATTCCAAGGCCAAGCCAGTGTGACAAGAATCAGACTCCTTTTGTCCCATGAATCTTACTGTATGATGGGAATATTTAACACAAAGTGCTGTCTGCTCTCCCAAGGGCATGGAAACCTGCCTGAGCATCACACAGTAACAGCATTTGGTTGTATGGTTTATGCTCTTCATGTTGAACTGTACTCTGCGTGCTCCTTGCTGCCACTCTCTGCCCTTTCTTATACATGGTGACATTTTAGGGATTTTTGTTTATGTGGTGCTATACTTTAGAGTTCAAGTCAATAATGTAAATAGCCAATCACAGAATCACAGAATGTTCAAGGTTGGAAGGGACCTCTAGAGATCATCTAGTCCAACCCTCCCGCTCAAGCAGGGACACCCAGAGCATGTGGCACAGGAAATATTATGGAGTTGTTCCTCGCTTATGAGGGAGCTTGGGCTGCACTGTTATCTAATGCTTCCTAAGCTGTATAAAAATAAATACCATGAAAGTGGTTACCCAACCTTTCCCTTCTGTTGGTGAAGGAAAGTAATTTGTCCTACCTGTGATCTTAATAAGTTTAAAATGCAAGTGTAGAAAGAAGGAAGACACTTTAAAGGGAAACAAGTAGTGATAATACTTAACCTAGTTCCCACTTCATTAGGCTACCTCTGATATTATCTATGGCATTAGTCTGAGGCATATTCTTCTAATCCACCCTGTCCACACTTTTCAGTGACTTTTAGTGGTGAGTCCCAGTGAAGTATGTTGCTTTGAGTTGCTTAAACTTCTAAAGACTTGCTGTCCCTCTTCTACAGCACAGAGCTTTCTTAGATGTGTCTCGAAGTACACAATGCCTATAGATCTATACATACCATATCCATAAATATCTCCTGGGCTGGTAGTACTGAGAAGCCTGAGACCATAATTACATATTTAGACCTGTGGATGTCACAAGCCCATGTGAACAAAACACTGTGGCAGGCCGCCTGTATCACCACAAACTCAATCCACTGGACCTTGTTGCACTTATCAAAACAGACCTTTATTTTCATGAGGTTGAGAAGGATCCCAAATGTGTTCTCTTTGCCTGTGTGCTCCCCAGGAGGTGGGTACAATCACCCTCTCTCCTGCCAGCTTCACCCTGCCAAGCCAGGCCAAGTGTAATGTGCATCACAAGCTTTCTTTATTACCTAGGACAGCCAAGAATAATCTTATGTTCATTTCATCTCTTACAAATAATAGTCTTTCTGTTTGTGAAGGGGAGCAAAACCAAAAAAAAAAAAAAAAAAAAGAACAAATCCTGAGAGAGAGCAGTGATACTATGCTTGACTTCCCATTTTCTGTTTCTGCTGAAGCACATCTGAGTTCCCGTGCTAGACTATGATCCTCCTCACTCAACAGAGAAGAACGGGTCTGAGGGCCATCAAACACTGCAAATTTACCCAGTCCTGGACAAATATTTACAGAGGTGCTTGTGCCAAATAACTTTGTGCTGATCAGTAAGAAAATAGTATTCAGTAAACTTTCTCTGTGACTCTTGCAAATGCTTTCAGTTCGATGGGAACTGAGTGGGCATTTTCATAAAATAGATCATTGTTAGCAGATATTAAAACACTCAGAAAAAACACGATAAGATATCAAATTACAAAGGATCTTATCCTGCTCTTCCTACTGAAGTGGGACTCCAATTTCTTTCCTTTTTTTGAAGAGCAGATCTGACTGCAACGCCACAGAACGGAAATTTCAAAGCATGAGAGCACAGCTAGGTTAAGTATGTTGTAAGCACACTTTCAAATGAAAAGCGTAGCCACATACGAAATTTTACGAATGCAATTTCTTAGATCTCTCTGCATATACAAATACTTACCCACAATGACATAATTGTTCCCCATTTCTGGTTCCCCTTGTTTTCTTTTTACTAAAGAGACAAGGTTATGGTTTGCCCAAGACCCAGGTGGTTTTTGCTGTGTTTCTAGGGGAATCTGCTCAGGCTCCAAGGGAAAATCCCTTGGTTAAGCACAGGTGTCAAACAAGTACTGTGATTAGAAAAACCATCAACTTACCTGATTTTTTTTTTTTTTTTTTTCAGTTGCACTTGCAGACATCAAAAATTAACTTGAGTGGAGTTTGGGCCAATTGGTGATGGAACCTGAAAGTGTTCTTGTGTCATATATTTCTGGCAGTTAGTGTCTCCCAAGTCCCAAAGACAACCAGCAGTAGGTGCAATAATTTGAGCCATGTGAATCTGGCAGAATTGTTAAGCTCCCTCAAGTAAGGCAGTTTCAGGCATGTTGTATTCAAGGGACTTTTTTTTTTTTTAATCATGTTTATATAAAACCTGGAGAAATGCTTTTTCTTCTAACAGACTTCAAAGGCCTTAAGTAGGGGCAATAGAGTGAGTCAGGGTGGGGCTATGAGGTATGGGGCTCCAGAATTGGGAAAAATCTTTTTTTTTTTTTTTTTTTTTTTTTGATGTTGGTCTGGAGCCGATGCCAGTGAGGATGGTGAAGTCAAGAGGTGCTGTTTATGAAAGCTGTAGCCAGCATACTGCCTTGGGAGAGTCCAGCTTGTATGTGTGGGTTTAGGCGTGCTGGAACACATCAGAGTGGTGCTGCACCCACTCGTGGCAGACACGCCAGGAAAGGAGTTGATCCCCACGCTGCCTCCTTCTCTGAAGGAGAGACGAGAGGTGCTGATTAGGGGACATAAACAGAGCACAGGATTACTTTTTACAAGATGGAGAAAAATACTATTGTACGGTGATGTGCACATTCCTTGCCTTTAATTGGAAAGGTCTGTGTCTGTTGCGAGCTTTTCTACTTTTTCCTTTGTTGTAGTAAGGAGGAGAGGAGGGAAGATGTAAGATGCGAGTCATCACTCAGAGTGCATTCTGTCTGGGTGCCTGATACATGCTTTGATATTTGTGTTTGATTGCACAAGACACTGTGTTTTCAAACCAGCCATGAGTAAATAAGGCAGATCTGAAAATGTGTACTGGATGTAAACTCTCTATGTGTACTGGATGTTTGCAAAAAGGAGAATTTATTGCAGTAGAAGAGTTGTACCCCTATATTCAAGGGATGAAATGGGTCCTTTGAGGCTGCTTTTACTTATGCTTTTATGTAATATACATCACTGTGCCTTAAGGATTAATTACTTGGTCCTCTGTGTGTGTGTAGAGGTACATACACACACACACACACACACACACACACATATATAGCTGAAAAACATTCAAAACTACTTATTCTAAAACTCTATGTACATTGAAAAAAAAATGCAGTTAATGACAGCTGCTATATGGACTCATCACTTGCATGCAAAGAAAATTCCAGGATTAAGCAGAAATCGTGAAGCATGGGCTGATACTGATTACTTCTTAGTCGTGGATTAGATGAACCTTAGAAGGTTCATTAGTTCTGCCCATGTTTAATTTTGGAAGTGCTGCCATGAGTGCTGGTGTGGGGAAGGTAAAGGAAAATGAGATGGTCGTCGTCTTTTCCCTTCTTTTCCTTCCTTCACATCAAAGAAAATTATAAAGATGTAGTCACTATAGTTCTTGG